CTAGTTTATATAATAAAAGTGTTATAAAATTAGTTGATAAGCTAGCTGAAATAAAAATCTAGCTTTTATGAGAAGTTCGAGCTTTTAGAAAAAACTCGCCCTACCAAACTAAGCTTATTTGAATACATGAAACTTATAACCTAATCAAATAAACTATAAACTACCTTATATGTTTACCAAACACAGCCTTAGCCAATAATTAATTGCATGCTTTATTTATTCTCGTCCGATGGATCTCAATATTGTGCACTTTTCAGGTTCTACAACAATGCATATTATGCAAGAGTTGGAGGTGTGAGCACTTCAGAAATGAACAAGCTGGAAAAGAAGTTTTTGTTTTCGCTCGATTTTCGACTTTATGTCAGCGTGAGCACTTTTGGCAAATATTGCTCTGTATTCAAAAGAGAAGGCTCGGGTGGTCTAATCGAGCGCCCAATCAAGTTGTGTGGAGTGGAAGAGAGTTGGACGAATAAAGACGACCCGGCTCATGCTCAGTCGACAGCTGGATAGCCAAAAAATGTGTCGAGAAAGATAAAAGTGAGCAATTTTTTCTTTTTATGATTTTCCTCGTTACCGTACAGGAGTTTGAGTGTTAGAATCATGATTCATGAGAATGAATGCCTGTGAAGAATTGTAAGGCTTCCCTTGTTTGTTGTAGTAAGAATTGTGTTTGGGATTTAAGAATCATGGAAATTGTTAGTGTTAGAATTTTGCCAAGCTTCCCTTGTCTGTTGTTGTAAAGGAAATGTGTATATTTCTTCAGTTCCTGAGTTCTATTGAGTTGTGTTGTTGGTTTTGATGAGGTATACACCTTGTCAAGTAGCAATGAAGTATAGATAAAGCTCGAGCAGTTGAACGAGGTCATTCTCCCGTTTGTTATCACAAACTAGTAATCACCCGTGCGATGCACGGGGATATTATCACTTTTTCTTTTGTTTACAATTATATTTTAAAAATAAATTGTGTACTAACAATATGATCATGATCATAAGAATAGACATACAAACATATAATTAAACTGAAAAGATCATATATTATTGAACACTTCCCTATATACAACATTATTGGTTTGATTATTTGACACGTCATTTTCGCCACAAATTAAGATTTTCAAATCGTTTTGGTTAGTGACACGGGAGACAGCAACATATAATTGTCCATGACTAAACACCGGTTACAAAAAGAATAAGCCAACATGGGATAAAGATTGTCCTTGACTCTTGTTTATAGTCATGGCGTAAGAAACCATAATGGGAAATTGCCGCCGTTGGAACTTGAAAGGAATTCTAACATCAGAAGGAGTTATGGTCATTCTTGGAATCAACACCGTATCACCAGCATGATCTACTGTGAGTATCTTACACTCAAGAACATGAGTGGATAGTTTTGTCACAACCAATCGTGTCCCATTACACAAACCCATAGAATGGTCCATGTTACGCAACAACATGACTGGAGGAGTTCCAATCTTCAAATACAACTCATGATCCGGTATTCCGGAACACTTGATACTGTTCAAAAACTCAGGCGTATGGAGATCAGA